CGGTTAGGGTATGGGGAAACCATTCTAGACCCTTCACTGCTTTCCAAGGGGGGTGAGGTGAATGGACCTGGGACCTCTAGGTGCGACCGAACTTGACCGCACATCACTCTTCCGCTTTCCGTTTTGCATGGTCTGGTCCTTTGGGTTCCTGCGGGCGCTTTCCTCTCAATCTCGTTGTTTTTGATGTTTTGTTTTTGATGACTTCTGAACTCAACTTTTTGTATGTACTTTTCCAATTTAACATATTGTGGAGAACTCCATTCTAGACCTAGGGTTGCTGGTCCCAGGGGGGGGGTCTAGAGCCCTTGCCCATTCTTACGTGGGACTCCTGAGAACTCTATTCTAGACCCCAGTTTGTGGGGTCTACAACGAAGGCCCTGAGGCCCCTTCATAGCAGTTGCGGGTATTTTTTCCAAAATAATCTCACTTGTTTTGCCAATCAGGTCACACAGATCTATCCACTTAGTGCCCCCTTTGTGGAAACGTTCTTTCACGACCTACGTAAGCCGAGTTTCAGACTGGTTTTCATGGAGGTGAGGCGCTTTTTCTGCACACAATGAATGATGGGAGTAGCATCGGTGCTTGTGACAAGCAGAGGCTCACCTCAAAGGGTTGGAAACCTTTGGGTGCATGATGTCGCATGTACCATCCAGGTCCGTGTACCTTTGTTCACTCCGAATTGCACCGAGTCACACCGATGGATTGACTCTTTCCCACCTGCAGTAGGGCCATGTGTTCTGTGTCAACACTGGCGATGATTGGCACTTGGAACCCCAGAGCAAACCCGGAAACGACCGAGTCTTTAGAACAGAGCCTGCTTGAAAAGAGCCTCTATCGAGGACCAAAGTGACCAACTGCTCTTTGGGCCGTCGTGGGCCACGTGGGTCAGTCGAAGTGTGCCAGGTTCTGGATGTGATTTCGCAGCTCTCAAAGGGGTCCGGCGCACAGTGTCCCTGAGGCCAACGAGGCACAAACTGGTGAGCGCAAACTCTTACAACAAAAACACTGTTTTGATGAGGTGATTCCACCATTGATGAGGTACATCTTGATTTGTCTCCAATCGTCTTCTCTTTCTTCACGGTGTTTCAACCAATTGAAACCATCCCCATTTTCGCCAAGGACGGGCCGACCTCTCCAATGCAGCGATTTGGTCTTCAGCCCTGATGAGGATTAGACTGGTCTTTCCTACTGGAGACACACCGCTTCGGCACCTGCGGAAAAGGGCTGCGCCAATGGTCTTGGAAGGTTTGGGGTGATCAGCGGCTGCTTTCTTGCCCTGTTCTAGTGCTTTCAGAGTACTTTAGCACTGTCACGCCTCGCAAAAAGAACAAGCAGCCTGTCGTCAGGTACTCTATCGATCGCTGGCTTCGAATGCTCCGAGTTGAGTCGGCATGGCCCACCGGTGCGGCGCCATCGCGGGCGGGTTCTTGGCGGGAGGAAGAAGGCGATGGAGACGTGAGGGAGTACAGAGAAAAGCAGAAAAAGAGCTCATATGGTTTTCTGTGAAGCTAAGTGTTTTTTTGGTTTCTATGTGCTACAACATATTCTTCAACCCATGAAAGGACACAAACACCAAACACAAAATTTGGCGGGTTGCAGGTTTGGCCTGCTACTGATTCTCGATTTTGATTATGATATGGTTCTATTATATTTTATAATTTACAGTTTATTGAGCTTGTGTTTGAAATAACATATTAAGTCTGATGGGTTTCGTTTACTTATTGGTGTGTGTGTGTGTTTGTATTTTGCTCGTTTGTTTTGATAGTTTAAGTTTATAAGAGTTACTGCTCAATGCTTCGGGTTGGGTCTTGGGGGGTTTTGAACTGATTGGTGCAACATACTTGGAGGCCCTTTCGCTTTGTTTCTTAAGGTTCTGGTACACTTGTCGCTTCATCCCAGACTAGAGTCAAATTGGGTCTTCAATATGCAACCCAAACCCCCTTTTAACCATTGATTCATATTAACCACTACAGCATCTATCTTTATGAACCAAGGAGGAACCACTACAGCATCTATCTTTATGAACCAAACCTCCTTTTGAAGATGGTGGTCAGCTGAAGGACAACTGTTTTCCGTTCCGTTGAGATCAGTCTGACTTTTTGATCCTGTTGCAGGCCGGTCTTCCACGTCCAATGTTCCCATACATGGTTTCTTGGCTGATGAGTGGTCGGACGGAGTGGAAGGAGGTGGACGGAGTGGAACTCCGTCAATTGGAAGTCAATTGTTAAACGGGTGTGCGCTGACTAGCGCCCATAGGCCAAGCGAAAGGAGATGGGGAAAAACCATGCAAAAACCCAAGCTTCTGCACGCAGCAAAATTAGAGCCTGAAACGTAGGCTCGGGAAAGCCCATATTTATGAGGCTTACGCCTGACAGCCGGGCGCCGGCCGACTTGGGTCTGTGTAGGGCTGGGTCGTGTCTCTCTCTCTCTCTCTCTCCCTCTCCCCTCTCTGCAGGCTAGCGCCTGCAGCCGCCGACCCCCAGGGGCCAGACCACAGGCCGCCAAATGGGTTAGGATCTTTTTCGAAAAATCGGGGAACCCAAAAAACAACATGGAACCCCTAGAGACATGATCTGTCATTGCATCACCAAAGTAGGCAGAAGAGAGCACGGCAAAAGGGTTAGCATTTTTCATTGAAAATCTGGGAATCCAAAAAACAACACGGAGCCCCTAGACAACCACAGAACTTCCTAGAAAAGCCAGGGAAAATCCTGGAAAAACCCTCGAAAAAGGCATGAAAGGCATGAGTAAATCTTACAAAAACCTTTGAACATCCTAGAAATCCAGCGGAAAACGTTACACAATCTAGGAAAAACCAAGGGCACTGGCAGGGACCAGGCCGCAACCAGGCCGGGATTCGAGGAAAAACCATAGAAAATCCTGGAAAAGCCATCGAAAAAGGCATGAAAGGCATGAGTAAATCTTACAAAAACCTTTGAAAATCCTATAAATCCAGCGGAAAATGTTACAAACTCTAGGAAAAACCAAGGGCACTGGCAGGGACCAGGCCGCGACCAGCCCGGGATTCGAGTCCGGGACCATTTAGGGACCGTGCTTATTTTCCCGCGCGGGTGGAGAGGAGTAAGAAGCAAACCACTACATTTGGACAAATCTTGGACACTTCTTGGCTACTTTTCGTCACTCCAACAAGATCCGGAGGGGTAGAGGAGGTATAGCCTTAATCATAGCCTTAGCCTTAATCTTAGCCTTAATCAACAGTCTCGCCTGACCCCACGAGTGGGGTCGGCGGATTTGCCGAAGAACCTTTCTCCGAACGAGATGAACGAGCTCGTTGGTCTTAAAGGATGACGCACAAAATTTTGGCGATATTGGAAGGGATACGAATGGATTTCCACGGTCAGAGTCAGAGGTTTTCCCTAATTCAATGGCAACCAAACTATTTTGTATACCAGCTGAGGTACCTGAAATTGCAAAACGAATTATATAGGTGCTTTGTTCAAGAGCTGCTTGAGTAGGATCGTATGCAAGGACCGTGCCTTACTTGTTTGTCGGAGTAGGGCAGTACTGTCCACCATTGTCCACCTGTACGCGAGACCGCACTTGACGCGTTTGACCGAGGGAGGACTTGTCGACAGTTGCAGAGTCATTTTCCTAATTTCCACAATTGCGAGAACTTTTCTGCATGAGAAGTCAGAGAATTCCGTTTTGGGTTCGCTCTTTTATTTGGTGAGACTTCAATAACACCCGTCATTCGTACGGGCCCACCGATCCCAATGTACGCTGTACAGTTCAATGGACGCCTACACCAATCCAAGATCGCATGATATCGCATGAGAAATGTCGTATCCGATGGTTTTTGGCTCCAAGTGGTACCATGAAGTGTTAGTGCACTGCAGTTGAGATGCCATGGGCTGTTCCAAGAGCCATATGAGTCGGACCTCCGAGGCTGGGCGTTAGGAATAACGCCTGTTTTGATCTATTTTGACCCAGGGTCGGCTGATGTTGGCTGTCTCCAATGTAGGTTTGGCTTATGTTCTATAAGATTCTATCGTTTCCAGTTTCGATTGATTTTGCAGTTTTATTTTCGACCTGTAGTGAGTAAGGGGACAAAGAAGTGATCTGGTCATGTCTGGCCCATGTGCCGAAAGTGCTTACTTAAATTCATTTCACAACCCTCGACTCAGTCAGCGGGGTTTCGTTTCGTTTACCCTTTATTGTCTGTGTTTTGGAGCCAAAGAGCTCTCAGACGCATATTCGAGACCTGCCAGGAAGTCGTCATTGAATCTGATACGTCAACTCTGCAGCCGCGACGTTTGAAGAGGTCACCTTCGTTTGAGGGCGCTGCTCTCGTTCGGAGCATTCCCACCACTGGCGTTCGAAGGAGGCTTGGATCGAACTCGTTGGATTCGCTGGCATCTTTGGGCGCTATCAAGAGGCAAGTCACCTTCAAGGAAGTTGAGGAAGTCATGGTGCACGAGTTTGACCCGGATGACAGTGCAGGCTTGCCTGCCAGCAACGGGAGGGACGTATGCGATAGGGCGCTCGACATGTCACCAGAGGAGATGCTGCGGATGTTCTTGCGTTCACTGGACAAGGCACCAAAGCTCCTTGAGAAGAAAGTAGAGACCAAGCGCCGTAGAGATTTCGGGCCGATCTGAGGCAGAGTGAACAAAGGCAGGAAACACAGCTTTTTGCAGAGCACACAGGATTTTGCCAAGCCGGGTGAAATCCGGGTCTACACTGCACAAATGCAGGAAGTAAGCCCCAACCCATTTTGAATTGTTGCACACTTGTGCGTTGTTTTTCGGCCGGCCCTTCAATTATATGTTCATTGGTCTTTCATAGACTGAGCATTGGCCATCGGTGGCCTGGATGTAACAAATCTGTTTTCTGGGTGATTTGAAGCCACGACCAGAGCCCTTTAGGGGGTGATATCACAGCTACATGGATTACACAAACTGCTGCTAGATCCTGCTAGATCCAAACAACCTGAGAGCTCAGATGTAATGTTATTGATCCTGATGTGTTTTGGATGGACCTCACAGTGCCATTCTTACCAGCTACCTACTAAAGGAGAGCCCACATTAGATATAACGTTCCCACATTACATCATGAGATTCCTCATCCTTATGATATCTCATGATACGATGACATATCTAGCTGCAGGCCACGTGCAGGTGACTTTTGAGTCACTTGCAGGTATGCTTTGGGATGCTTTGGGTGTGGTGTTGTTTTTCCCTCGCATTCCCTCGCTGCGCACTGCTTCTCTAGACCGTGCTGGAGGAGACTGCTTCTCTTCCTTGATCAATCGTCTAGTTCGCAATAAAGGCCGCCAAATCACCGAAACGGTGTGGTTTTCTTTCATGGAACCGATACATCTCAACAAGCCTTTGGGATGTCTGCGGAGAAGGAGCAATTCCCCATGTTCTAATCAAGATGTTTTTGACTCCAAGGGAGACCAAGCTGAGATCTCAAATCACCAAGTAGCTGCTTACTCAAGGGTTCGGCCCTTTGTCAACTCATTTCAGACCTTTGTGCATGCTTGCCAAGGGCATGCATGGAACACATGCGGCGGGTTAAAAGAGCAGCAGCAGAAGGTATAAGATGTTGTAGCTGGGAAGATTTGTTGACGCAGTTTCGATTTCATAAAGTGAAAGCCAGAGCAGTTGGGCGCACGGATTGCCCCATGAATTGATGTGACTTCAGGCTTCGGGTTCTGTTTTTCAGAACAATCTGCATGTTGCCCTTCTCATTTCACTTCGATGTGAGTGGCTTGTCGATTGGGCGCACCTCCGTATTCCCAGACAGGGCATCTCGGACCCACCTACTCTTTGGGAGCAGAGGGCTGCGGTGGCCCTTGGTGAAAGGGACGTATTTCCTCCATCCACTCCGTGGAACGTCACATGGTTACGTGGAACATGGCCCCGAAAGGAACGATGATTTTTTGTTCCTCTACAAAAGCGGCCAACACGATGGTCCACTTCGATGGTAAGGTCCAACACGGCCTACTTCATGCCAAGTGCCTGTCTTGCGAACCACTTCAGGTGACCCGCCCTCCCCCCCTTTCTCCTCCGTTGTCTCCATGTCTTCTCGTCTCGGTCTGTTTTGCCTCGCGGGTAAGCGTCCGAGGCATCACGGAGATCCTTTGTGGGAAGGATCCCGGAGTGAACGGTTTGGGTGATGGACCTGGTGGCACCTGGTGGGAGGCCACTC